CGGAAATTCCAGAGAGTTGAACGACCGACCGCGGCGGTCGACCGCAATCAAAACCTGAGACCAAAAACTCTACAGGGTTGGCGCGGTCGACCGCCTTCAGCTTCAGCTTCTTCCCATCTCCTGTGCACATTCGTGGTCGACCGTCGCGATCGACCGTGGATCTGTCTGCTTGTTTTTCTCATCCTTTTTGATTCCAGCATTCGTTCGTACTTTGGGTCTACACCTTAGACTAACACAATAAACAACATATGCGTAAAAGGGGTAGCTGATATGAGAATGTTATGGATTCACAAGAAGTCAAAAGGGCGCTCCTAGTGAGCATAGAGTGCGAGAGGATTCTTTGAACATGCGTAACATAGCCTACTAATTACTAAATGTATCGATTAGTAGAGATAATGTTGGGTTAATTAACCCTCAGCGGTCCGCAGCGGTCTGATCAAATGTACGAAAACTAACACACTAAACACAAAACCAGAAAATAGAGAGACAATCACAAACACATAATATTTACGTGGTTCGATCAAATTGATCTACGTCTACGGCAAGAGGGGGCTAAATTTTATTTCTCTTTGAGTTTCCACACGAGTACAAAATTTTGAGAGCTCTCGTGGTTGTATGTCTCTCTGATGTTTAAAACTCTCACCGAAAACAAAATGAGAGTATGATTGATTGGGGGACCCACAAATGAGAGTGACCCCCAATCAAATAAAAAATCTCCCCGAGATATGCTGTCATTCTACAATCTAAAATTGAGAGAAGAGATTTAAAATGGGTCCCACCCATTTTGGATTCAAGCCAAAAAGTCAACAAATAACAGATTATAAATAATGGATGAAGCAGGATTAAACTTGGCTGAGCCAATTTATGCCTGTAGGACAGTTAATGGAGCAGATGAAATGATGTAAAATATGATTCATTTAGCTTATCCCAGAAATTTTGGATATATGATTTGTTGTTGCTGTTGTTGTAAATTGTTATGTTCACTTCATGTACAGGTAATCTTTACTTTGAGCTTGTTGGTTGCAGATTCTTTGATAAAGCTGCAACAAAGAGCGGTCCAGACACTAAATGGACCTTGTGCACGGTTACTCAAGTCGAAGAAACCAAGCAAATATTCAAAATGCTTCCTGTTCTTCTCACAACATTCATACCAAGTGCAGTGGCAGCACAAACCATGACCCTCTTCGTCAAACAAGGCACAACACTAGACCGACGCATGGGGCCACACTTCCAGTTCCCAGCTGCAAGCCTAGGCGCCTTCGTCACAATCTTCATGCTCATCACCATCGTAGTCTATGATCGCGCCTTTGTTCCTTTTATTAGAAAATACACCAAAAATCCAAGAGGCGTCTCATTGCTTCAGAGAATGGGAATTGGCATTGTTATGCACGTGTTCATAATGTTCATCGCAGCCTTAGTAGAGAGAAAGAGGCTAAGTGTTATCAAAGAGCATGGGACTTTCGATAACAAAGATGTGGTTCCCATCTCAATCTTTATCCTGTTACCTCAGTATGCACTGATGGGGATTGCTGATGCATTTGTTGAAGTTGCAAAGTTGGAGTTTTTCTACGATCAGGCTCCAGAGGGGATGAAGAGCTTGGGGACGTCCTATTTCAGTACGAGTTTAGGGGTTGGTAATTTTCTGAGCAGTTTTATTCTGACAACGGTGTCCGATGTTACAAAGAGAAATGGGAGCAAAGGATGGATTCAGGATAATCTGAATGCTTGCAGGCTAGATTATTTCTATGTGTTTGTTGCTGTGCTCAGTGGGGTAAATCTTGTGTTTTACTTGGTTATGACGAAGTTGTATGTTTATAACTCTGATGTGGTTGAGTTGGAGATTGAGATGAGGAAAGGGAAGAATGAGGTGCATCCGAGCAGGACAGCCGGTTCAGATTCTGAAATTGTTGGCAGGGATGGAGGAGATGCATGATAAATATTTTTTGGTGTTATTTTATGACTTTGGATAGCATACTCTCGTATAGGCTTGTTCTTAAGCGCATCTCTTCAGCAAATTTGTTTGTCCTCAAAGATATTGTATATACTTTTGAGACGAAAATCAAATGAATATAGCATTATTTTTCATGAATATGACATTATTTTCTTCCTTGGAGAAAAGAGAAGAAAAACATTGGTTTCATTAGTTGGTTAGTTATTCTTGAACCTCTGAATAAGTATATAGACGTCCAGTTTGGTTGATGTTGTGAACTGTCCAAGAGCTTAAGTTGTCATGTGGGTCTCATGTATCTCTCAAAAATAATTTAGGATTAATTTCACAAAACCTTCTTGAATTTTGGAGAGAGTTCTACCTACCCCCCTGAATTTTATTTATCTCACATAATTCCAATGAACTTTAGGATGTCTCATAAACCCCCCCGAACTTCGAACCTTTCTCACTAGACAAGTTATGTGAGATAAACAAAGATCAAGGGTTTGGTACAACAGCCCCCAAAGTTTATTTTGTTTTTTTTTATATTTTATTTTTTTTGGGGAGGGGGGCAAATGTAATAATCATGTTTGGGAGGTTCGTAAAGAGAATAGAGGGGATTATTTCTTAGGTGCTAGATTTGTATCATGATAATAGTTTAGTAAAGGGAATGAAGTACTTTCCAAACGAGGCAAATTCTTTTAATTTCTTTCCTCTGCCCCTTACTCATTCCCATCCAAACAAAGCATATCTTCCAATCCTTCTCAAGACAGAAACACCTCTTCTTTCCCCCAAAACTGGGAAAGTCGCACGTTGAAGCACCTTTTCCTCTTTTAGTAAAATTGTATTAAAAAAAAGAAATTTTCTAAACAAACTCATTCACTTTTTTTCTAAAAATCGACCTCCTTGTGTTTTTTTATATAAAAATCGACCCATTTTTCTTTAATCTAGTTCCTAAATAGTCGGGGTTGACAATCCTGGCTATTTAGAAGGTTGCAAATCCCTAATTACAACCCTAAACCCTAACATTCTATGCACTAAATAGTCGGGGTTGGCAACCCCGACTATTTAGGAACCGGATTAAAAAAAAGGCCAATTTTTGTAAAAAAACTCAAGAGAGTCGATTTTTTTTTTTAAAGTGAATGGGTTTGTTTAGAAAATTTCTTCTTAAAAAAAACTCAAGTCAACAATGGAACTTTTCAAATGTTCAGAGGGTTTTTGTGAAATTTACCAAAAACAAAAACTTTCTTTTCCATCGTCGATTGCATTCTCGAGTATCGGTACGTTGGGTTGTTAGCTCACGGGTTGAGCATGAGCAGTCTTCGCTTTCTCTTGGGAATTTCGTCGAACAGGTTGTGTGCATTGAATCACTGTTTTTGGCACGCTTACTGCTCGGAATTCTTGTACAGTTTCTTGGTTATTGCCGCTCACTGATCATCTTTTGTTACCCTTTCCTGATTATTGCATTTATACTGGAGTTATAACTCAAAATTTCTTCTAAAATTGGAGTAGAGATTTTCTGTAATTAGTTATAGTATTAATAGTAAACTGCGGCGATGGCATAATCATTTCAATTTTGCCGAGCCCAAGAATTCTTGAAACCGGAACGTTCAGTATTCACCCATATCCTGGTTTCGCTTCCTTGTTTCAGTAAATATCTTAAAATAGAGAAGATTAATCTGCCACATTCGTGATCCTAGCTTCACGACTGCTGGGTGGGAATCATTAGAGTCCTGCATCGACAACGATAATTTCTATTTGAATCGGTGTTTTATTTGTTCCGCAGTTTGCTTCAAGAGCTACTGCTGTTGACATAATCTTGTTCATCACTGAAGGGAAATATTTGGCTTTTTTTGCATTACATTTGCATGAATATTTATTATACACGTGAGTGATGAACTCTGTTGTGGTTAAGGCTGTATCTAACCCATCACTCGTAACATAATTTTTTTTTTTTTTTTTTGGGACGGTCGAAGAAACTTTACGTGCATGCTGTCCGTACAGCGTTACACCCGAGCGAAAGATCAAAACAAAATTAAAATTTTCTCTTATTGAGAGACATGACAATGACATGCACCGTGAAAACGCATCAGAAGGCCATATCCTCCAGGGATAGAAGAGGAAACAAGATTGGAATATGAGCGTAGCGAGCCGTTCTCTCTCCCCCTTCTCCGGCTACCTACACCTACCCATGATAAGCTCCGTCACCTCCTTTTCGGCAACTGAAACGTCTTCTTCAAGAAGTGATTCGCCGCGTCGTCGTTCCTGTGGCACAACACCCTCAACACCGTGTTAGGATCCGCCCTGTTCCACCTCCCTGTCGTTGGCGGCATTGGTAGCACCCTCTGCCTTCCTGGCGTCTCCGCTCCTCCTCCTCCTCCTCCCCCGCTTGCCCTCGCACGCCGCCGATGCTGAACTCTCGATCAAATCCCTTCCAGTGGCACGCCCAGCAACGCTATGATCCCTTCCGCCACCTCCGCCTCCCTGTCCACCACCTCCTCCGCCACCAAGCCCTCCCCGCTCGTGCAGAACGACCGCTTCAAGCTCCGGAAGTCCTCCGCCACCGTGTCGTAATCCGACCTGACGAACGCTCTCTCGCTCCCTCCGGCCAATAGAACCATCAGGAACGCCTCGAACGCGGCCCTCATCACTTCTTTCACTGCCCCGGGCTGTGCCCTGTCGGTTAGTACTGATACGAGCAGGGTCAGGTTCTGCTTGAGGATACGTAGCGCGGGGCGGATCCTTGAGCTCTCAATGTCGCCGACGTATAGCCCGTCGTAGAATGAGTGGTTGGAGTCGAGGAAGATTAGACGGTAGGCGGCAACCTCGGAGACGTGGAGGATGGCGGATTGGATAGTGGAGCGGGTGAAGTCGAAGTGGTATGAAGGAGCAAGGTGGCGGTCGGTGTTGGATGATCGGAGAGAAGGGGAGGGGGGAAGTTGCCACCGTGCTGGTTGCGAGAGAAGAGGGAGAGGGTTTTGTCGAGGGAATGGATGTGGGAGTGCAAGTAGTAGAGTGTATTGAGACGGATGTAGAGGCGCTGTGTGCCACGGCTGGTCGATGGACGAGGGTGGTGTCCGTCAATGGAACCATTCCGGTAGCTTGGTGAATTGTTGCCCATGGATCTTATGGGCTTTGCTTTCTTCCAGAGCTTTGCAAAACGGGAGTCTTGGTTGCATCTTGTTAGCGGAGGAAGTGGTGGCAAATAACTTTGCTTTGTACCTGCAGAGAAGTTAGTGAGTTGCCAGATTTTTATGGTTATGATTATAATATTTTGGTTGTGTGGAGGATTTTACCACAGGATGCAACAAAGGATGTGTACTCATGAAAGATGGATTCAAGGCCATCAGCAAGCACTTGGATCATGTTGTTTCTTGCGCTTACTGGGATTTCGAAGAACTCGTCGACTGTTGGTTTGGCTATCTTCATGAGATCGACGACCGATTGTGCGTATGGTTCGGCTTTTGACCTTGGGATCCAGCTCTGTTTTAAGGATAACAAAAGTTAAATTGAAAAAAAAAAACTGTTGTTGCTTATTCTTCTTGCAGTGAGACATAGATTGAACTTCTGATAGCGCATCAGGTTACAAAAAGATTTTAAGGTGTTGGTCCCTAGCTATGTAAGCATTAGAGAAGGATATTATTAAGCCATAGATATCAAGAGCATGTATTGCCTCAGGCACCATATAAAGGACACTAAGCAAATTTGACTAGTGAAGATGTGTTTTTGCCCAATAAACTTTAGCCTACGCATGTTATTCAGACAAGTATACATTTTACTCCCTAGACTCACCTCAGTCTCTTTGGCTCTGTTGACGCATTCCTTTCCCATAGTCAACCTCTCCTCAGTCCATCTCTTGAGAAGTCCGGTAATTATCGAGTCTACCTCGTAAGGCATCATCTCCCTCACAACATCCTGTCCCTCATCATCTAAATCCACAGAGTCCTCCACAACCATCTGAACCAAAGCCTTCTCTAATTTCCCTGCAGACTGCAGGACTCGGACCACTTCAATACTCAGGTTACTGACCTTAGTCAAGTACTGCTTCAGCACTACACCGAAGCAATGGTGGAGAGTTGAGACTGCAATGGCTGCTGGAACCGGATGCCATCGTTTAAGGACGGAGCTGAAGGTTTCCTTCTCTGATAAGGCCAATGTCTCGGTGTCTTGGGCGAGCTGAACTAGGATATGGCCTGGGTCCTCATCGACTTCCACTATCATGCTGTCACCGTGACCACGTCCAGTCTCGAATATCTGCATACAAATCGATGGTTCGCATGAAATCCAACATCGTTCCAACATGAATACAGCAATTTGAGTTTGAATTGGATCCAAAAAGAAGAGGGATTCTCTTTGGAACTTGAGTGTAACAGGTAAAAACTGTGCGTGTTCTTGTGGTTCGCTTTGTTTGACATGTTCTTGTGTTTGAATTTATCAAAAACAGTGATTCTTATAGTCTTATAAACATATGGTAGAACACCAGGACTCCATTTTACTGATATTAGCTGAAGACAGGTCACATATATCTTAGTATCTAAGTGCCTAGTGTCTGAGATAACTGATGTCAGGAAACATAAGATGGGTGTTCTGGGGTTAAAATGTCAGGTATGTCAGTGTCCTAAAACGCAAGGTATGGAGATTTCAATAAGCATGATTGAGGACAAAGATGTGTATATGTTTGTGTGTGGGCGTGGTCCTGTAGTTGGTGTTAGGTTTATTAGTGTGGTTTAGTTATTGGGTCAGGAGTTATGGACCTACATTTAGTTACTATCCGGTTGTATCCCAATATATAATATTTGATCTGAGTATTTCATAACAAATTCTCTGATAGCATGTTATGAAATACTCAGATCAAATATATTGATCAGACGAGAGTAATTATATGGGGATAAAACCGGATAGTAAGTAAACGTGGGTCCATACTCAGATCAAATATAGTGATATGTAAGTAGAGGCGAAGCTAGAATTGTCACCTTGTTGAATGCATTCCTCATCGAGGACCTGATATACCCATCCAATCTACTGCTCATATATCCACTATCCCTCTCCGACCACCCCAATCCACTCCCAACCATACTCGAAACATCCTCATTGATTATCTTCGTCGTGGACAGAGCAAGGGACAAGACATTCTCCATGTTCCCTACCGTTCCATTATCAAACC